GCCTTGTGCCAAAGTTGTAAAAGGGGGTGGAGCAGGCGAGAGGGGCAGCCAGTCATGAGAAAACTAAAAATGCTCTAGTGTATTTTGTTCTACCTTACTTTGAAAAGGGAGTAGATCAAAGCGCACTGGAGAACTTTCAGTGCATGACAGCAGGGTCCACATGGACACCTAGCGTGCGGCAGGCTAGTAGCAATTGGAGACACCCTAAACTGAGGGCAGGTCTTCACTACGGGGGGGGTCGATTTAAGATACGCAAATTCAGCTACGCAAATAGCGTAGCTGAATTCGACGTATCAGAGCCGACTTACCCCGCTGTGAGGACGGCGGCAAAATCGACCTCCGCGGCTCCCCGTCGACAGCACTTACTCCCACCTCCGCTGGTGGAGTAAGAGCGTCGATTCGGGGATCGATTGTCACGTCCCGACAAGACGCGATAATTCGATCCCCAAGAGATCGATTTCTACCCGCCGATTCAGGCGGGTAGTGTAGACCTAGCCTGAGTTTCAGAAACTGCCGAGCACTCACCCGCCGGGGGGTGGAGCCCCTTTGAAGCAGTTTAAGTTGGGCACCCAAAAAAGGGAAGCACCCAAAATTGCTAGTTGCTTTTGAAAATCTTGGCCAGTACCTAGGGGAGGTCGAGCTCAGCTATAGTGTAGCCACATTCTTACCCCTCTCGCCCCCCACCCCATGGTATCACTAGCACTCCAAGAGTGTGTTTGTTTTAAAAACCCTTACAAGCGTGTCTAAAAAACCCACAACAAAACAAACCAGCCACACCTGGAAATCGGCCATGTCCGGCCAGGGGGCTTCCCCATGCTTAAAACACCCTCCCCTTCATCTCAATAGCAGGAAAGCCTGGCAGACGCAGTCCTGACCATGCCTGTGGGGGCTGCTGCAGCCACAGCCGCCGGCCCGAGGCAAGTCCCAGCCTGCTCCGTCCTTTAGCAACAGCGGCGATTCCCTGCGGATCGCTCCCTGCTTGCGTCTGGTAGCAACGCCGGGCAATGCCTTGGAGGCGCAGCCCGCAGCCGGGGCACGGAGCGCGCCCTGCCGCTGCTGCTGGCGTCCCACGGCGGGTTCCCGGGCCGGGCTGAGCCGGAGCGGGCGTCAGGCACCAAGGCCAAGGGGGCAGCGCGTGTTCTCCCTGCCCCTGCTCGGAGCCCCGCCGCGCCGGCGCCGCGGGGAGAGGCAGGTAGGTGCAGGGATGCGCCGCCTCGCCTTAGCCGGTGTGTGGCCAGAAGCGGGCGGGGGCTCGAGAAGGAGCCAATTCTTGGCGCCACACCGCGCCCGGCTGGCCCGCTGCACGGCAGCCCCCTGGGGCCGGCCGGCCGGGGTGCTGGGGCTGGAGGGGTCGCTCTCCCCGGGGCTGGCTGGAGGAGGGGGTGCAGCATTGTGCTTAGCACTCAGACTCCCTGGGTCACATTAACAGACTATCCGCAAGGTGGCGCCAGGGGCTGCGCGTCCCTCCTTTTTGTGAAAGCGGAGCAGGAGGGGCGCTGGGAGGGGCTGTAAAATACGATTTGTCCACAATTCCCCCCTTCTGAGAGTGCAGGAGGGGCTGTCCTTTATTGAGAAGAACCGGCTCCTGCTGCTTAGATAGGGTGACCAGAGGTCCCGATTTTATAGGGACAGTCCCGATTTTGGAGTCTTTTTCTTATATAGGCTCCTATTACCCCCCCCCCACCCCATCCCAATTTTTCACATTTGCTGTCGAGTCACCCTAACTTTAGACCATGCCAGGACTCCCCACAAGAACACAAGAACGGCCACACTGGGTCAGACCAAAGGTCCATCTAGCCCAGGGTCCTGTCTTCGACAGTGGCCAGTGCCAGGCGCCCCAGAGGGAATGAACAGAACAGACACGCAGAGGCTTAGGGACACCCTGACCATCTTGGCTCAGCTTAAGATTTTGTCATGGTTATTTTTTAATAAAAGTCACAGACAGGGCCCAGGCAATAAACAGAAATTGACAGAAGCCCTGACTTGTCCCTAACTTTTACTAAAAATAACGGTGACAAAATGGGGCTCACCCCTTGTCCTGCTGCAGGATGGGGGGGGGGGTGACCACCACCACTATGGCTGGGAGCTGCTGGGTCCCTCTGTCATCAGTGGTAGCTGGGAGCTCCAGGGTTCCCCAGCTGCCCATGACGGCTCGGAGCAGCGGGGCCCCGGCTTGGCGCTCCAGGGCTGGCAGCTGATCCCCACTGTCCTCGGCAGCTCAGAGCTGCAAGTTCCCCCTGTAATGGCTGGGAGCTGCTGGGCCCCTGCTGCCAATGGGGCCCCACTGGCTGGCAGCTCCCGCCCCGCCACCCTGGGGCTGAAGTGGAAAATGTCACAGAGGTCATGGAAAGGCCAGCCACCTCTGCCATAGTTTTCCCCTTTCCCTTGGACACACCACAGGGCACTCCGCAGATTGGGGACCTGTGTGTGTGGGAAGGGAAAAGATTGCCCCCACCTCCCACTCACTATCTCTGTAGAGCTCAGCATTCTAAATTGCAGCATTCAGGAGCTGGAGATATTTGCAAAAGTGCCAACTAATTTGAGGTGCCTCCATTTTTGTGTGGCCAATTTGAGAAACCAAGAAACCTAGTCCAAAACAGAGGCACCCAGAATGAGTGCATGCTTTTTCAAATAGGTGGCCCACAGCTGTATGTGTTCTCATTTCGCCACCCTGGCCCAAGCTGCTCTGCCACTCCTGGCCCCACACGGTATTTTTCTTTGTGGCCTTACGCAGCAGGTCTACTTTCTTCCAAATCAACCAATCTGTTGCAGAAGTCAGAACAGAGGCTAAGTAATTTATTTTTAAAGGTGACTTGTCCAAGGTTAACCTTGAGCTCAGCTGTGCATCTATCTCCATTGTACAGAGAGTTGAGGAAGGTTCTGTCCAGCTAAGGCTCATTTTTCTTATACCACCAGCAGGCCTCTTCTTCTGCCAGTTACTGGAGAGGATGGTGGAAGGAGGCTTCTATCCCCCATTATTACCAGCTGCTTAGTCCTGTACAGTACATACAAAATATGAGCAGTCCATGTCCTGAAGATCTTACAGTCTAAGGCTCTGGTTCTGCAACTAAAGTTACACACGTGCCTACATGTTTGCAAAATTGGGACATGAGGGAGAAACACAGTGAAGATGGTACACCCCGGGGAAATGCAAAGGGGAAGAGGGTGTTTTGTGGGCCTCATCAGTGATTCCAAATGGTGGACATCTCTCCACTTTCCTAATCACTCTTACCTGGAAGAATTAATCTTCAATTATACGGGCCCACTGTCAGGGTTGCCAATTCTTGTGATTTTAACATAAGTGTTACAATATTTCATGTTCTTCTTAAAGCCCCAGCTCCTGGCATCAAATGACTGTATGAGAATGTGATTATGTGCTTGCCTTTTTTTTTAAAGTGAGTTTGTAGTTCTTATGATTGTGGAGAAAAGCTTGAAAATGTTAATCCAAAAGGCTCAATAACCAGAAGGCAAATAACAAGAATACCAAGTCTATAATTTTTTCAAATCTCATGATTTGAAAGCTAATCTTATGATTTTGGAGGGACTGAATCATGGTTTTTGAACACTTGAGGTTGGTAATGCTGCATCCTTCTTCTCCCTCACTAGACTTTGGAAAAACTTTTTGTTAGGGAGGTCTGCTGTTTGCTACTGACGTCATCTTTTCTGGAATAAATGCATTTTTTTTCCCTTGATACAAAGTAGCATGAGGACTAAAAGTTTGTACTTTAACTTATTTACATTTTCATTACATTCCCTTGTGAAGTGGTACAGGAGCAACTTCTCCCTTCAATTGTAATGTGTTAAACAGATGATCTTTCAGCCTGTTATCTTCACCCGCTTCCTCCTCATATCTATCTTTATTTAAAAGATATTTGCAGCTTTCTGGAATTTGCTTTTTGTCATGATTGATTATATTTTCTCAATTTTTGTCCTTTAATATATTGAGGGGAGGGGGAGAGAAGGAGAAAGAAGGGATTGTGTGTGGTTTTTTTAAGCATGCAAGAGGTTTGCAAACTCATCTAAAAGCAAAATTTTACTGTGTGGATAAATATGTTAATTACTGTAGTCTCCAGCACTGCAGGATTTACTATTTATGGAAAATGAGTGGTAGTTTGTGCATTAACCATGATGTCCCAACAGCTTCAGACAGATTCTAGCTAGACTTTTTGTTTAATCACACAGTGATTTAAATTTAAAATAACCCATTAGCAGCTCCTGTTGGCCATGGGGTAGCTGATGAGCACTGTTTATGTAAAATACCCAAAGGCAGTACAAAACACATAAGTAACTGCTGGTAAGAGGCAATTTTGATGAGATTATTGCTATTCTAAGCCACGATTAGTCATTTAAAATAATCCAGTGGCATTTACTAAGCTCTTCCAGTAAAATGTTCAGAAGAGGCTTGATTCAAAGCCACTGAAGTCAATGGGAGTTTTCTGTTTAACTTCTGTGGGCTTTGGATCAGGACCTATTAGCACATTTAACAGGAAATCTACTGTTCCTGGAAAGTAAGGTCTTTGGGAGAGGGAATCACATGCAGGAGCAGGAGACACAGGAGAATGTGGTGTCTTTCTCAGCATTGTTTGGTTGGAATTGGACTGAATTTAAAAAGATGATTTGCAAAATGTTTGCCAAGAACATGGACTGGGATTAGGGGAAAAGGGATATGTAGGAGGAGCATTTTGCCAGTGACCTACCCCTAGGGTGAGCAGACAGCAAATGTGAAAAATCGGGACAGGGGTTGGGGGGTAATAGGAGCCTATATAAGAAAAAGACCCAAAAATCGGGACTGTCCCTATAAAATTGGGACATCTGGTCACCCTACCTACCCCTGGAAGAGAGCTAAAACAATGTAGGTAGAAGCAGGGGCGGCTCTATGTGTTTTGCCGCCCCAAGCACGGCAGTCAGGCGGCTTTTGGCGGCGCGCCTGTGGGAGGTCCACCAGTCCCGCGGCTTCGGCGTACTCGCAGCCGAATTGTCGCCGAAGCCGCGGGACCAGTGGACCTCCCGCAGGCATGCCGCCGAAAGCCGCCGGTGCCTGGAGCAGCCCCTGGGTAGAAGGGGAGGAAATGGTTGAACAGCTTATTTAATGCAGCAAAAGAAAGGTCAGTGTAATGCCCTTGCCCTGGGGACAGCCCCTCTGAATTTCTGACCAGGGCTGGATCAACGAAGAGGAGAATGTTCCCAGTGAGGTGAACACGGTTCATGCTGGGACAAGACTTTGGGAGTGCTGCATGAATGCTTATTTCATTAAGTATGGCTGGTTTATAGCACTTAGTTCTGTGCCTCACACTCAGATCTCGGGGCCTTAGTGTGACGAGCTCACAAGTGACCGGAACAAAGCTGTCAGCATCGAAGATGCTGCGATCCAGAAGAGCTGCTAACCAATTGCTGGGACTGCCTCACTAGCAGCATTTTCTAACATATGTATTGAGACTTCACAACTTCCCTGCAGGCTGTCATAAGGGAAAGGGGAGTGAGCTTTGTTTCCCTCCCAAAGAGAAAGGCCTCTACAGGGAATTTCATCAAGGGCTTTTCGCTGGTGAGGAATGAGGTTGAGGATTTGGCAGCTGGCAAGTGGGGAAGGGAGGGCTGCTATGAATTTGGTGAATACAAAATTAAGAGTTTTCTCCAAGGTGGTGTTTGGACAGTCACTCCCCTGCTGGGTTATGAGTTGCTCTTTTTGACTAAGGTCTACAAACACTGTAATAAGCTCCTCCTGGTTTTCAAAGGTGAATGACTAATTCACCATATTTCTACTAGGTACAAGCTTAAAATTTCCAGCTCATGTTGGGCAATGGTTCGGGCCATTCAACTGCCCTAGTTAAAGGAAAAAAATAAACCTCTCTCAATTTAAAATCACCCACCCTGCAGAGGTGTTTATTTCATTGCCTGCTGTTGTACTTGGCTAATGAGATAAGGGAGGATTTAGACACACAAACAGTATTGCTAATGCCTAATTTTACTGTGATAAAAATGGAAAATTATCTTACATTTACTTAGTTAATTAGCTATAGCAGCTTCGATTCTGAAAGATACTGAAGTGCTTGACAGACAACTTACTTCCTCCTGCGTGGAAATGCAGCCACCCTCTGGTGTGGAATAAGACAGCAGTATAACAAAATATGGTAACCTCACGTGATAGTTTAGAACAGGGGTCGGCAACCTTTGAGAAGTGGTGTGCCAAGTCTT